GCGGGTGTGGGGGGTCGGTGGAGGGCCCGGAGAAAGCCGGTGGGGGAGCCCGGCCGCCCTGCACGCTGAGGGTACACGTTTGAAAGCGCTCGCGTCCAGGCTGTGCATTCGGTCGAGAAAATGCAGGCGTGTGTCCAGAATTAATTTCCATGAGATTACCAAAGGAGTGCAAAGGACAACGTGGTGAAATCCCCGGGGCCATCCTTGGGGGATTTAGCTGAAACTTATAATCAGCTTCGATCGACCCTTGGAGAATACGGATGCCAGTGCGCAATACTTAACGCTGGGTTTTCTTCCCCACTTCAGAGGTTTCCTACACCTGAAAGAAGAGAATGTCAAGACGAAGGTAACATTATTTGTCTTGGAGACATGTTTCAAAATTAGACGCTGTCTTTGAAATGCATGACTTATTAAACTTCCTTTTTAAAAATCCTCTGCAGCACCCGTTTACAAGCTAAGCAGCATGCCCAGTCCAGCCAGCCAGACTCCCCCCAAGAAGCCCACATAATGCAAGCCAAGAAGAGAAAAACAGCACAGGTGATTTAAGGACAAAGAGAGGGAATGGAGAGAGTCCTTGCTGGAACTTCGTTTACCAACAGTCATTTCTGTTTTCCAGGATGTCAAAAAAAGAAAAGAAGAAAAGGTCACCAGGAAACATCAATATGAGATAAGGGTAATGCAGGACTGAGCTGGGTGTTTTGGGGGAAAGTGAACGGAGGAGAGGATGAATAAGAATAATGTTCCCGCTTTGCAATGAAAAAATTTCTGTCACTTTTAATACTTCTAGAGGTCAGCGGGAAGGAGTTTTATATATGTCTGAATCCTACTACAGCTGCAGAGTAAGTTTGCCTTGAAGCAGCTGGTTCCTTTTTGTAAATCCCTCCCTCTTGGAGCTGCCTGGTGCACCAGGGCCCGCCTAATCTGTCTGATATTCTGCTCTTTGTTCCCTCTCAGACTATAGTAAACGGTCCTAATAGCTGCTTCTTTGGCATAAATAGGATGTGAGATCACTGATAGCCTGGCATCCAGCCCTTTGCTACATCTTCTTCCTTATATCTTGTACAGAAAGCACAGTGGTTCCTTTTGAAACCAGCATTATTGGAAGAAGAATCCTTCAAGTGATTCCACTAGATTCCATTCTTAAGGTTTTGCCTTCAAATATTCTAAAGTATTGGAGAAGGGCTTACCTTAAAAAGCGTTTTATTTAAAAAGGCACCTTTGCTGCCACTTCTAGAATTTATTTTACCTTGAAAGTGGTTGATATTCTATATTGCAGATGTATTTTATTACTCCCCTTCAGTCAGTACCTAATGTCTTGTGTTACTGGAATTGTATTGTCTAAAATATCCTGTCATTTTATGAAGATTGATATGGGCTATATGGGTTATTTATAAAATTTAAGTGTTCTATTAACCAAACTGTTAGCTATGTTAGCTAAAACTATAGATTGTTTAGACTATTAGCTTTAATTTATCAAAGATCCAGGACAAAAGCTAAGGTTTCGTATTGTACAATTGGATATTCCTTGTCTTTTTAAATGACAGAATTGCTGGCCACCTGTATTATCTGGAGGAGTCAGTCCTTGTATTCTCATTGAAACGCCCCACAAAGAGATAGGAACAAGTGACTTCTCTAGATTTACAAACTACAGATTTAAAAATCTTTTTATTAATCCTTCACCTTTGCCAGATTTAAGGTAAGAAAAATTTCTGTACTTCTAAATCAAAGGTTAAAATTTTACAGACTTAACTGAAAATAGTGCCGTGTTGCTCTCATTTTAAAATAGGAAAACTTACAAAAATTGTATCGTTTACTAATTAAATATGTTTCACCTAATAATAGTTCTGTGGCCCTTGATAGGAGTACTTAAAACGTTTCTGTAAAATTATTTTCATTATTAGAACTGGTTGTTTTTTAAGATACATTTATATTTAATTGACACAAAGTAGGTTTTTTTTTTTTGTCTTTTTGAGACAGTCTCGCTATGCAGTTGAGACTGGTCTTGAGCTCACTTTGTAGCCCAGGCTGGCCTCGAACTCACATCAATCCGAGTGCCGGGATTACAGGCATGTGCCACCATGCCCGGCTCAAAGTAGGTATTTATGGGGTACAGTGTGGCATTTAATATAGGGATATAATGCTAATGGTCACATCACAGCACCACCGTATCTATCACTTGACACCGTTGTCATTTCTTTTGTGTTTGTTTCGTTGGTACTGGGAATTGAACTCAGGAACTCATGCAAGGCAAGTGCTATGCCACTGAGCTGTCTTCCCTGCCCTGTGTTTTGTTTTTGTGGTGGTGGAGATTGAACCCAGGGCCTTGTGCATGGAAGGCAAGAGCTCTACTGCTGAGCCACATCCCCAGCCCTATTTGTTTGTTTTTATTTTTGTACCGGAAATCAAACTCAAGACCTTGTTCTTGCCAGGCAGGCACTGTGCCACTGAGCTACATCCCCAGCTATTTGTTTTTAAAGACAGTCTCGTTTAATCCAGTCTGGCCTTTGACTGACAGCAATCCTTCTGCCTCAGCCTCTGAGTGCTCAGTTCACAGGCATGCGCCACCATGCCTGGCCCTGAATTACTTTTTAAGTAGAGTTTAAATAATTTACCTAAATTAGCATAAATACTTGGGATGCGAGCACGTTTTTGAAATCTGCCAGTTAAGGTAACCACGTTCCAGGTTACTGTATTACTTAAGGCTTCTACTTTCTTGTGCAGAAAAACTGGTTTCTAAAACTCAAACTAAAAATCTTTTTCTAATTTAAAAAGCTGCATTTTCAAATTCTAGTTGAAAGTTGGATTTTACTGACAGCCTGTGTGTTATATGGCTCACACAATGTAAATTGTGCTTACTTTTACATCTTCCATAGCTGGGGCTGCTCCCAGGAGGTTTGGCTGAACATGCTAAAAAAGGAAAGCATGTATGTTCATGACAAGAATTTCGAAGTTCTGCATTGTGACCTAGAACCACAGATGAGGTCAATACTTCTAGACTGGCTTTTAGAGGTATGTTCCAGCAGTATAAGTTTCCTTTATCTCTGTATGATGGGAAAATATTTAGAGGTAAACATGCTTTCTGTGCCTTCAGGGTATACTATCTATTACCAGCAAGCCATCTTTCTTGGGGTACTTAACAGTAGTTGGTGGCACCGAAAGTGGAAGACAACTGTCTACTTTGTAAGAGTAAAATCAGGGGCTCGGGTAGAGCTCAGAGGCAGAGAGCACCGTTGAAGTGTGCAAGTAACAAGTGTGAGTGCCTGGGTTCAGTCAGCAGCACCAAAACAAAACAGTATAAGGACACAACCGCTGCACACAAGCCAAAGCCAATTCAGAATTCTTAGTATGTGTGGATATTGCTTTGTACTCTGCATTTTTCTGGGTGTCGAGGGTACTCGAGATGAGTGGAATGTCTAATTGACCAGATTTTAAATACTGCTGTGCAAAGAACCAGGACTAGGCTTCAAGACCCTCAGATGTCTTTTTTCTGCATTACCAAAATTAAATTATTAGAGGACTTTACATCTGTGCCCTAAATCATAATGGGGCTTTGGTAAACCAGAAGCCCTAACCTCTCCAGGTTCTGTGTAGCTTCCCTTTATAACGTACTTGTTTGGGGATGGGTAACCAGGAATTGAACTCGGGACCTCGCACTTGCCAGGCAGGCACTGCGCCGCTGAGTGACATCCCCGGCTCCTACAATGTACTTCTGTTCCTTTCAAAAATAATGCTATAAACCAGGCGTGGTGGCACATGCCTGAAATCCTAGCACTTGGGAGGCTGAAGCAGGAAGATCATTATGAGTTTGAGGCCAGCTTGGACTACGTAGTGAGTTCTAGGCCAGCCTGAATTACATAACAAGACTCTGGCTCAAATGGATGGATGGATGGATGGATGGAGGTGGGGGACTTAGCTCACTAGAGCACCGGCTCTAACATGGAGGAACCACTGTGTTCAATCCCTTGCACTATAAAACAAAACCGTGGATACACTATACAACTAAGATTAAGACTACATGAGGACTGGAGCCAGGCGTGGTGGCACACGCCTATAATCCCAGCACTCGGGAGGCTGACGCAGGAGGATCATTGAGAGTTCAAGGCCAACCTGGGCTACAAAGTGAGCTCAAGGTCAGCCTAAACTGCATAGCAAGACCCTGTCTCAAAAAGACAAATAAAAAAAAATTTTAAAAAAGACTAAATGAGGATCATAATAGGTTTGTTTATTCTATTAGTACATGTGTTTGTCTCATATTCTAGCTTTGGTATGGTTTAAAAGTATTAAAAATTTTAGGTTTGGTTTAAAAGTATTCTAAAGTCTGGCATGCTAAGAGATGTCTTTCTAATTTGGAGAAATTCTAAGAGTAATATTTAAATGTTTGGATTCTTCTGTAGGTATGTGAAGTATACACACTTCATAGGGAAACATTTTATCTTGCACAAGACTTTTTTGATAGATTTATGTTGACACAAAGGAATATAAATAAAAACATGCTTCAACTTATTGGAATTACCTCATTATTCATTGCTTCCAAACTTGAGGTAAGTTATCTGTATTCATCCATATTACCACCAAACTTTTTCTCTTTTGACTGACAGATTAATCCCAGAGAGTACTGTCAATTTTGATAGAAATTCCTTAGGTGAATGGTTTCCTCAATACATTTTTCTGAAAATTCCGATACAGATGAAAGAAGAAATTATTGTAGTTCCTCTAGGTTTTGAGCCTATTACGTGTCTCTAGTTTAGATTCTAGGATTAGTGTAAAGGATCCGTGACTCATTCTGCCAAATCAAGCACATCAACACTTGTCTTCCTATACATAACTGTGGCATTTGGATTCACTGAACAACCTTTGAAAACTACACAGCCAATCAAATGAAAGAAATGCTGTATTGAGCTAGAATCGTCATCTAATCAGTCTAATATTTCTGTGTGTAATGGTGGTGTCATGCTAGAAAGCAGTTCTTTTCCTGTCTGAGGTTTTTCTTCCCATAATCACAATCTACTTTCCTTAAGTAACACAGTATGGACATCATCAATACTTTTTACAGGTGGCATTATTTTGAGGGCAGAAGAGAAATTACCATCATATGTTAATTTCCTGAAATTTTCCTTCCTAGTATGTCCTTTGAGCTTTAAGAGCTATTGCCAAGTTTGGCCTGACCTTCACAGAAACATACTGTTTTGGATCCCTTTTCGGACTGCGATTCTGATATTGAGCTTATTCTCATACGCAGGAGGCCTCTCTTAAATCTTTTGACCATTCCAGATTTTCTCTGGATAGCCAAAACAGGCCTGTCGCCAGACTGCACAGTTTTATGTTTTGTTTTCCTCAGTATTGGGGTTTGAATCCAGGGCTTTCCCACTGAGCTACATCCCCAGCCTTTAAAAACATATTAGACAGTCTTGCTGCCCAGGCTGGGCTGCAGTGTACGGTTCTCCTTCAGCCTCCCAGATTACAGGTATGAGCCACATAAAATATCTTATTGTTGTTTTTACTTTTGTTTTTTGTAGTGCTAGGATTGACCCTAGGGCCAGACAAGCTCTCTACTACTGAGCTGCCTAGTATTTTTGAGTAACTGTAGTTTGGTACTAAGGTAAAGGAAATATTTTTAGTTTCTAGAACTTACTTGTTGAGTGTTTTGGACTAACTAACATACTAGGAAATCTTAAAACAAGTTGGCTATTTTTTTTTTTTTTTGAGACAGGGTGTTGCTATGTAGTTCATACTGGCCTTGAACTCACTGTGTAGCCCACGCAGGCTGGCCTTGAACTTGTAGTGATCCTTCAGCCTCAGCCTCCCAAGTGCTGAGATTACAGGCGTGCACCACCATACCCAGCAAACTTTTTGTTTAACTCAACTAGTTAAGATAATCTAATTGTTTATGAACTAATATTTAAAGTTGTAGGAAAATAAGCCTCATAATCAATATAGTTGATAATTTGGAAGCCTAGATAGGAAAGATACCTTAAATATGAGGTTATTTTATTTTTTTTTTTGGATTTTTTTTTGGTTTTTCTCCGGTACCGGGAACCGAACTCACGACCTTGCGTATGAGGTTATTTTAGCTATGTAGTGTAATTAGTTCACTAAGATTTATAGTAAATTTGTGAAGTTATTAAAACTGAAGCTTGTGTGTAGCTTGTATATAATTCTTTTGTTTTATCTCAATTATGGTTAATAAAAATTTCAATTTAAAGGAAATCTATGCTCCCAAACTCCAAGAGTTTGCTTATGTCACCGACGGTGCTTGCAGTGAGGAAGATATTGTAAAGATGGAACTCATTATACTAAAGGTAGTATCATGTCTTTGTTTTTACTTGCATCTTAGTAACACAGTAGTTATGAAGTAACCACCAGTACTAAAATGTCAGTACTCAGAACTGAGGTTTTAGTTATTAGCATCCAGTTCTAAGAGGTTAATGCGTTAAAACACTGACAGTAGCTATGGCTGGGAGGGAAATTTGCTTAACCTGTAAACTCTTGTGAGGTGTTATGTGTGTACACTCCTAATCTACTTTCCCATAATCACAGTTTTATTTTTTATTAGTACAGGTTTGCAGTACATCATCACATTCATTATGGGTGATGTGTACATGTACATAACACATATATTTTATTCTGACCCATCTCCTCCCTCCATGCCTTCCCCTCATCTATAAAAGTCATATTTCCATTTTTTAAAAATCCCTTTTCCCTTCTCTCCCCTCTACCATCTCTTATTCCCCTTCCCTTTTGAACAAGTTTTTCCTCCTTCCCAATCTGTCCCCCGCATTTTGCTCCTTATTTATACTTTGGGTTTCTCACACAATGAAGCCATGATATTTAAGCTTGTGTGCCTGATTTATCTCACTTAAGATTATGGTCTCAAGGTGCATCCATTTACCTAAAAATGCCTCAAGTTTATCCTCCTTTGTGGCAAAGTAATGCTCCATTGCATACAGATACCACATTTTGTTTCCATTCCTCTGTTCATCGGCATCTGGGTTGTTTCCAGGGTTTAGCTATTATAAATTGTGCTGCTATAAACAAGGGTGTTAATAGGCAATTTTAAATTTCATGAACAGGCTTTAAAGTGGGAGCTTTGTCCTGTCACAGTCATCTCCTGGTTACATCTCTTTCTCCAAGTTGATGCTCTTAAGGATGCTCCTAAAGTTCTTCTACCTCAGTATTCTCAGGAAACCTTCGTCCACATAGCCCAGGTATTGATCTCATGTATATGTTAATGTCATTGTCAGTTCCAGGTCTGTTGGTATACGCAGTCTTCAGCCTATGTAACAAAATGGCAGATTGAACTAAATTCTCTTAATTGACTACAAGAAAACTTTTGACACATAAAATACTGTCTCCAATATTTATACTGCCTAGTAATTCTAGAAAACAAAGCCCTTAGACTTCCAGGAGTATTCTCATCCTTACGGAGTCCAAAATTGTTAAATATCTTTTTTGCTATAAAATGGAAAAATCTTTTTAGGCAAAAGTCTTTAGGTTTTAAAAGTGTTATTTTATCATTCTTATTTTTTTTACACTTGAATACAAAGGGCACCTATTCGTTACCTGTCATTAGAATTTAAATCACCTTTACATAATAGGTTTTTAAAACTTAAGTCAAATTTAATTTTCCTAGGCCAGTATAAAACAAATGTTCTAACAACGTAGAGGAGGGGGATCCTATTCAGTTGCTGCTTGTAATTTTTTTTTTGTCAGTACTGGGGATTGAACCCAGAGAGCAATGAAATACCTCCCCAGCACTGTTTATTTAAATTTTTGAACAGGGTCTAAGTTGCCCAGCTTCAGGTGAACAACTTGGGTTGCCAGTTGGCCTAACTTGCGATCCTCCTGCCTCAGCCTCGAGTATGCCACAGTGCCAGGCCTTAGGCTGCAATATCTACCATGTACAAAAAGCAAGAAACTTCTACATAGGACATGAAAACATTACCTGTGGCATAGAAAGATGATGGCATTTTGGAATGAAGCATAAAATTTGTGTTTTAAATCTAACAAGCATTATTATGAATGCCAAAGTTGGACAACCAATAAATGTTGGGATTGCCTCATTTTATAGAAGTTTCTAAGAAAAGCTTATTAATTTTTTTGTCAGAATTTCCAGCATCTCAGATTTTCACAGGCAATTATACCCTTCTGATGGGGTTGGGGGAACTGATGTGGAAAGTTTCTAGAAGCGTAACACAAATTGAACATCCCTAATCAAAAACTGAAACGCTCCAAAATTGGGAAATTTTGAATGCCAACATGACACAGCAAGTAAAAGATTCCATACTTGACAGTGCAGTTGAAGTATAGGCACACAGAAGACATTGTATAAAAGTCAGGCAGTGTTTATATTTCCATACTCTCCCCAAGAAATATTGTATGTAAATATTCCAAACATAAATGAACTTTATCCCGTCCCCAAGAAATCTCATGTGTATGTAGATCCTTCAACATCTAAAATCCCAAGCACACCAGGCATGGTGGCACATGCCTGTAATCCCAACACTCGGGAGGCTGAGGTAGGAGGATCACTGTAAGTTCGAGACCAGCCTGGGCTACAAAGTGAGCTCCCGGTCAGCCTGAACTGCACAGCAAGTCCTTGTCTCAAAAAGACAAAACCAAACAAAATCCCAAACACTTCTTTCTAGCCCTAAGCATTTCTGACAAGCAAAACCCCGCCTGTGGTAACATTATTTCACTTCATTATTTCACTTCTCCTTTCCTGATAATTACCTTCTGAAGCAATGAGGGCAGGTATTTCGTTCCACTGAACAGGCATCAGTTCACACCTTTCAATTCTGGTCCTCTTGCATCACCCCACCGCTACTCATTCAGTTCTCCTGTGGTCTAAATTACACTGTGTAGCCACTCATTGCTTAGAAACATGTTACACTTTAACCTGCCAGATCCACTGCAGTCTAAGGTATTTGTCTTGAAATGTTAACTTTTTTGATTTAAAATCTTTGGTAGTTTCAGTAACCAGCCTATAGAATAATGTTTTCATTTCCTAAAGGCCCTTTATGACCTACTGTAGACCTTTCTAGCTACCCTTTTTTTGGAGAATTGAATGGAGCAGGGTATGGTGGCACACACCTGTAATCTCAGCACTCAGGAGGGTGAGGCAGGAGGATTGCCTTGAGTTCAGGGCCAGCCTGGACTACACAGTGAGTTCAAGGCTAGACTGAACTACATACCAAGACCCTGTCTCAAAAAAACCCTGCAAGGTACTTATTTCGTAATTTTGACCTCTAGTGCTCTGAACTGCTTGTGTTGCAACTTTTTTGTTTAGAAACATTCTTTACCTCCCAGTCTTCCTATCTTTTATGATTCATTTAAAAGACTAGAAGCCCTGTCCTTTCTAGATTGAGCACCTTCCTGCTAGTACTCATCGCTCCACATTGCAGTAATTCTTTCCTTGCCTCGTCACTCTGATCTGCTGTTCCAAGACTTGACTTCCTTTGATAGCTTATTTATCTTAATCTTTTGAGTTTCAGCTATTCTGGTATAGGTAAGAAGCCCCCTAAAATGTCAGCTGACTGATTTTAGTAGGGACATAAAATACTCACCCTGCTCCTTTTGCTTTTCCTTCGTTAGCTTTTGGACCTGTGTATTCTAGCCATTGACTCGTTGGCGTTTCAGTACAGAATACTGGCTGCTGCTGCCTTGTGCCATTTCACCTCCATCGACGTGGTTAAGAAAGCCTCAGGTAAGACCTGACATTTTGTTGTCTTCTCACAGCTTCTCATGGGACTGTAACCTATGAATTCTAACATACCACCAAACACGAGGGAAATTCAGCAGCCCAGTGGTTCTCTTCCTTGTTAGAAACTAAGGCCAAATGGAACTTGCATCCATTTGAAGTGAACCAACACAATTATAGGTCTACTTTAAGATTTCTTTAGAATTTGATAATTTCAGTTTATATGTAGAAGATACTGGTGAAGAGGTTAAGTCCTTTTGCCCACAAATGTAGTCATGCTATAACAATTTCAGAATGCTGGGCTGGGGATTTAGCTCAGCGGCAAAGCGCCTGCCTGGCAAGTGCAAGGTCGTGAGTTCGGTTCCTGGTACAGGAGAAAAACCAAAAAAACAAAAACAAAAAAGCACCCAAAAAGAACAAAATGAAGTCAACCTAGGATTCTTTATGGGGCTGGGGATTTAGCTCAGCGGCAAAAGCACCTGTCTGCCAAGCACAAGGTCGTGAGTTCGGTTCCCGGTACCGGAGAAAAACCAAAAAAAAAAAAACAATTTCAGAATGCTGCTGTTTTGATCTGCTTGATTTTTGTTCTGGGTTTTTTTTTTTTAATGAGTCAGAATTTGATTTTGATTAGTTTTGATTTTTTTTTAAATGAGTCTTTAAGTATCTTAAGATTTAAAAGCAGAAGGAAGTACATAAGATGATTAGGCAGATAGGCGTTTCTGATGTTCAGTCTTCACATTTTTCCAACTTTTTAAACCTAGGTTTGGAATGGCATAACATTTCAGAATGTGTAGACTGGATGGTACCTTTCGTCAGTGTAATAAAAAGCGCTAGTCCAGTGAAACTGAAGACTTTTAAGAAGATACCTATGGAAGACAGACATAATATCCAGACACATACGAATTATTTGGCCATGTTGGTATGTTTTTTTGTGGAGTTTTGTTTGATCTTGCTCTCTAGAAAAGTCCAAAAACCGACAGAAAGGATATACTATGAAATACCACTTCCTTCAGGGCAATGGCTTATGTAAGGCAAAAATAATGGGCACGTAGTTTTCAGAATGGAGAGAAAAAAATTAGTTTGAAATCAAATTAAAATTTGCAAATCATCTCAAGATCAGTGCTAATATATCTTAACTGTTAATTGCTGTATGATTTCTTCACATGCATAGGATGAAGTCAATTATGTGGACACCTTTCGAAAAGAGGGACAGCTGTCACCAGTGTGCAATGGAGGCATTATGACACCACCGAAGAGCACAGAAAAACCTCCAGGAAAACACTAAAGATGTGAGCTAAGCAAACAAGTTGGAATTGAGCAATATTAGCTTGAATCTACAGTTTTACAAGAAAACACCTTTGATTATCATTGCCAATTCAGATATTACACTGCCATTCTTTGATTTAAAAAACACGATTGGCACTAAAGAAATGTACTTACTTCCTATGTGAGCTGTTAAAGAAACAGCAGGACATGTTTACAAAGATGACTTCCTTTCTGGGGTTACTGGACAGAAGCCAACCATGATTTATGCCATGGCATTTTATTTTATTTTTTTTGGATGCAGTGTTACTGTATTTGTCTTGATAAACTAGGGCTTTTATCATTGACTTTTTGGACTACGTAAGTGCTACCTTAAAGGGTACATTAAGTGATACAGTACTTTGAATCTAGCTTTTAGATTCTTAAAATTCCTATACTCTTGACTAGTGCAATTTGGTTTTTGAAAATAAAATTGAAATTTGTTTACAAAGGTTTAGTTTTGTAATAAGGTGACTAATTTATCTGTTGTAGAAAGCTATTATAAAACTTGAATTTTTACAAATGGTGAAATTAATTTTTAGCTAGTTTATTTGCCTTGCCATATTTCCCAATCAGTAAGGTGTCAATGAAGATGATGTTTAAACTGCTCTAAACAGTGGGAGTACCAAAGAAATGATAATGAGAGAAATGCTATTGCTCCTACTTGGGGCATTATCAGACAGAGGTTGCTTTATAATAACCTTTTTTGTATGTCACAATTTGGGTGAAAAACTTAAGTACCTTTTCAAACTATTTATATAAGAAAGTCACTTTATTACTCTTAAGATATCCCTATGAATTTTTTAAAATTTAGCAGGACTAAGGCTTTATTTATGTTTCCAAAACTGTTAAAAGTCCATTTTAAATTCCTACATTATGAGATGTGGACAGTGTCAAAAATTAAAGTTTAACATTTGACCTAAATTTTCTATTTTAAGGCAGAAAAATATTAAATGTATACTGACTCCTAGAAATCTATTTATTAAAAAAAACTTGACATAGAACTTGTTGTATATAAACTAGCTACTTCCACATAATTATTTTAAATCAACCTTTTTTAGAGATAACTTCAGTCTCAAAAAGTAGATTTAAGTAGAAAGTTCTACCAGACTGCTAGTTACCAGACCTGTGAACCTCTTCTACCTTTGAAGAAATTGTAAATTAAAGCTACTGTTATGGTATGAAGTTTTCTATATAGTATTTGTTTTTAAACTAATGCCTCAGTATTTTGTCTGAAAAGAAAACACCACTAAATGTGTATATATGTATTATATAAACAATCTTTTAATACTATTTTTAGCCCATTGTTTAAAAATAAAATGTAAACATTTTTAACTGTTTAAAAGTAAAGTTTTGCCATTGCTTGAAGAAACTTTTTTTTCCTTCTCTGTGCTGCCAGCTGTAACACTTCTTCTGGGTTGCTTGCGTTCAGTTCTGTCTGGCCGATGGCTTTGATCTTTTCAAAACAAAAAAGTGAAATTATTGAAGATTGAGGTCTCGGTAGTATATACAGTGTAAAGCTACTTATCTGCTAATAATAATAAAGTTTAATCATTAGCTGAATCTCTAATTGTAAAACCAAGAACAACTGATTTGAGCTGTTCTTAAGGAAAAGATTGATGCTGAGCTATGATTTGTAGAACATCTTTGTCACATTTTGCTACCTTGAGTAAATGCAGGTATGTTCCCATGAATGAAAAATACAAGTAAGCGTTCCTGGGTAATTTGACAGTTTTACAGTTGAATTGTTAAGGCTCCAAAAAGTAGCTTGAAAAATCCCAATTCAAATTTCAGAGCTTTCATTTTTTTGTTGTTGTTTTTTAAGACAGTCGTGCTTATGTAGCTCAGGCTGGCCTCAAACTTGTGATCCTTGTACCTCAGCCTATGAAGTGCTGGAATGACAGGTATATACTACCATGCCTGGCTATGGTTTTACTTTTTAAAAGTTTTTATTAGTACGTGTTTGCAGTACATAATGATTACATTTACCATGAGAAGCTGGCACATGTATGTAACACATCAATTCTTTTTTATTCCCTCCTCTCCCTGCTCTTTCCATCTTTTCTCCCCCTTTTCCATAGCTAGCTGCTCCACACTATAAAGGCATCATGGCTTGCCTTTCCATAGTTAGATTTTTTTTAAAAAAATTAGAACTTCTTTAAACAGCACTCTTCTCTAAATGGCTATAAAATCCGAGTAAGACAGAGCTGGAACAGAAACCTGATATTCAAGAGAAATTCTGCGGCATCCGGGTAGCAGTCAAAAGCACGAGTGTGTAGGATTAACCAGGAATGAGGGGGGCAGGGTGCTGACCAGAAAATAACCTAAGGATTAACTTCCTAGGAAAACTAAGAGTGGGCAACAGAGATTCATATGAAACAAAAAGGGAAAAGAAAGAAAAACTATTTTAGGGAAGCCAGGGGAATAAAGGATTTCAAGAAGGCAACAGATGAAAACAGTAACGGAATGAAACGTATCCACTGGCTTTTGCATTTGGTAACCTTGAGAGAATAAAAAGTGACAGGAAAAGTCAGATGCACTGGGCTGAACTCAAAAAAAACTAGGCAGAAAGACGAGAGGCAGCTGGAGGCAGAAGCACAGTCAAAAACGTTTTCTATTAACGATGAAAGAATTTATATAGACTACAAGAAGTTGACAAGACAGAGAAGGAAATGACTAATTAAAAGATCAATGAGACAGAATCAAAAGCTTAAAAACCTGCCTTCAGAGAGGTTCTAGTATAACCTCTTACTGACCTGAAGAGTGGGTGATTTTCAAGGTAGAAAGCAGGGACCTGATACAAGAATTTGAAGCTGGTGCTCCAACACTGTTACACTTTCCAGAACTGTAACTTCCATAAAGAGAGGGCTGGTCAGTCTTTCCTCTGGTCTGTCCCCAAGCATACAAGAGCCAAGGAAATTATTGAAAATGGAAAAAGAGGGCAGAGACTTAACACAGGGGATGTCTAAAAGAATCGCTGGAAAAAAGTAGATTACTTATTAACAAGTCACAGGTAGAACAATTTAAAAAGCTGGGAAGGGGTCTAACATTGGAGACCACGGTTTAGTAAGGGCATGCTGGTACAGTTCAGGACTTTTTCTAAGAAGACTCAGTGACCAGAACTCTTCCAGGACAGGTAAACAATATCCACAAGATGCTGAAATATTCGTCAAAGAATAATTCTGACAGTGAACCCGCTGAAGTTCTCCAACCACCTGGGGAGCCTCACCGAAGACAACACAGTCTGCTCAGAGCGCACATACTAGCATTGGCTGTACCCAGGGTGAGGAGGGAAGGAGGCGGACAAAAGGGACTACATGACCATGGCTGACATGGCTATGGCTGTAGGTGGCTGGTACAGAGAAGAGGTGATAATCACTGCAATGGAGGTTGGCAAAATCCTGTGAGCCTTGCTGTGATGCTGTCTTTCTGATGCACATACAGGAAAAAAACAGCCAGCTTAGGTGAAACAAGGTAAGTATGTTTCAAAGAAGGGGCTTAAGAAAATGACACAAGTAAAAATGGTCTGGAAATGGTAAAGGAGAGCTAAGGAAATTTCAATTGCCTCCCCGCTCCAGGTAAACCGGAAAAAAGAGCAGTCTCCAATCAAGGGGGCTATTCATGTTCATCTTTTTTTCTTTTTTTAAATTGAGGTAGGGTCTTGCTATGCAGTTCAGGCTGGCCTTGAACTTGCTGTGTGTTCAGGCTGACCGCAAACTCTCAGCAATCTTCCTGCCTCAGCCTCTCGAGGGCTGCAATTATAGGTGTACACCACCACGCCTGGCTTATTTTTCTTTTAAGGTGCTGTTATTGGTTTCTTTCCTTAACCAGGCATACAATGTAGTTGAAGAGCAAAGCTATGGTCCAAATTGAAGCGTATCTGCAATGAGTGGTTACAGATGAAACAAATGGTAGGTAGTTAATATAAAATTTTAAAATGTGTTGGCCCTTAACTCAAATTTAAATAATTCACCTAAGAGGCACCAGTGCCAGTAATAATTCACCTATGAGGCGCATGCCAGGCACTATTCTAGTTACCAGCTACAAGCAAACAAACTGCTTATCCTCACAGGGAAACAGATCAGGGGGTGGCAGGGTGGGAGGCTCATTGTAAGATGGTCTGGAAAGGAAGACCAAGCTGGCAACCACTGAGGAGATACCTAAAGGTAGCTGAATACTCTGGAAAAGAATCTTTCCAAGTCCCCTAATTAGGGAATGAATGTTCTTGCAATATTCAAGCCTCCTGAGGGTGACTAGCATAGGAGAAGTTAACAAGGGGGAGGGCATCAGACGGGTAAGCCAAAGACCGAGTTTTATGTGGTTCTGTACCAATCATAAGAACTCTGTGAGAGGAGAAACCTGTGAAGATTTACAGCACAGAAATAACATGACCTAATGTTCTAAAATGAAATTTAATACCTTACACTATCAAAAAAGGATCTTTTAAAAAACACTAGTAACTTTCCTGAGAAACCACTCTGAAGATACCACCACATATTACAGCAGCCATTGATATTTTCCTACTAATCTATCCATAACTGTGTAAAGTTTGTAATGTTCCTATCCTAGTTCATAAATGGATGTATGTTTATTATTATGTGTTTCCTACAACAACCATTGAGAATAGTTAATGATTATTCAATAGGTCACTCATGTATAGCTCTATTTATTTTCTTTAGAAGCCACTTTGAAGATACCAAAGTATAGTACAACAACTCTTGATAATCTCCTATCTCTTTTGTCTGTAACTCACTATTATTTGTCTATTTGTTTTCCTGAGAAACTATTTTGTAGGCAATAATATGTAAAACGATAACCATTGATAATTTCCTACCATTTTGTCTGTAATTCGCTAAGTCCCCCCTATTATTATGTTATCCTTATTTTATTCTTTAAAATAAAAAAAATAAAAAATAAAAAATAAAAAAAAAACACTAGTAACTAAATTCTGGCAGTAACTGGGCAGTTTTTTGTTGTTACAAATGTTAAATGCTTAAAATCTGGAAACAAGTATATCACTGAAGAAAAGGTGTAAGGTAACTTACAGCAATTTGTCTTTTATCCGTCTCTCCTCTTTTATGATGAAGATCTGAATAAATAAGTTAAGAATAATAAGTCTGATCTCAGGATGGTTTTTCAATTTTGATTTGGAAAATACATAGTATGCAGGAATTTAATTTACAGAAATGAACTGTTAAAAGATTACAAATGTGGATAGAAGGATACAAGTCAAGTATTCCAAGATGGTAACATCCCAAATGTAGTCATAGTAAGAGTCCATAGCATCATGACTGAAAAAGAGAACTCAGTTACTACTTCCGTAAGCAGAAAACAACCACTTATTTTAAAAAACCACTCATACCTGTTTTGTTCCTGCAGTGATTTAAAGGCTGTTTTGTAGTCAATTTCTCTGAGGAACTGACATAAAATTGCCACCTACATAAACAAAGATTGGAAAATGAAATGGTTTCATGTAACAATGACTCACCTGGCTTTGGAGGTTAATCTTTAATCATTCTTTCGTTTTCACGTTTTACGACAGGGTCTCACTACGTAGGGTCTCACTACATAGTCCAAGCTGTCCTTGAACTCACTATGTAGCCCAGGCAGGCCTTGAACTTATGGTGATCCTCCTGCCTTAGCCTCCCAAGTGCTGAGATTACAGGGGTGCACCACCATACTGGGGAATCTTACATTTTTCTTATATAAAAAGTATTATTTTTAAGAAGCCTTGCAGAACACACCAAATGGATATTTATGGATTCCATCCAATTTGAATTTCAAACACCTTTACCCAAGAGTCTAACCAGTATTTTCTTCATCTGTGACATACACTATAAATTTTTAGAGCTTTATTTATCTGAATGAGAAGCTGGCAAATAGCCAGTTCAAAAAACTGAACTGAAGGGAATGGAAAACTGTCAAGTAAAAGTGTCAGGATATTCAAAGACATAACATGCAATTAAACCTTTCACTGCTGGGAAGAACAGAAGCTCTACTGACAAATTTCAAGCTACCAATCTGCTTAACGTAAGTATTTCAGTCAATTATATAGGTCACAATGTTAATCTCTTGAAAAAATATTGGCAATATTTTTATTGATATAATTCACTTACTATATTTGATTCCTAGTACCAAAAAAAAAAAATTCCACTTACTATGAAAATTATCCTCTTAAAGCACACAATTCAGTGGCTTTTATTTTTGTTTTGTTTTTTTGTCTTTTTGAGACAGGGTCTCACTATGCAGTTGAGGCTGGGCTTAAGTTCA